CGTCGAACAAGAGATTACTAGAATGTTTTGCAAAAACTGGGAAGAGTGCTTACCAAGGTAGGCAAACGCAGCACAGTTCTTGATCGCCCCTTCCATGAACGAGCCATCACCCGCGCTAACGGACAATCGTTCCAAGCTCCTCGTAGAGAACGAAGGCGAGGCGATTCTATCTTCCTGGAGACCAAAGTGAGTACACGTTTGGACCCGACAAAAATGCCACGCGCACGATAGAGCCCTTTAGCCAGTCCCAAGGAGAGTCCACCAAGTCTTTGGAATATCGAGCCCATACCTTTTAGCTTTCCTTTCAAAGCTGGCACCAGGCACCCAACCTGAGAAGGTGATAGCTAAGCGGATTCTGACGCTAAGGTCTCAGCATATTGTCTTACTGGGCACGCAGTTGAGTGACGGAAAATAATAGACCCAGAATGTTCCATGGTTATGAGCTGCCGATATAGACGAGCCGGCCCTTTCCACCACGCCAATGTATGGATCGTCTGTTTTCTTCAGCGGATACCCATAAACGATCTGAAAAATCGCCGAGTCCGGAGCACTGAGCCCATGAGAAATGGGTAAATCGAGTCTAAGGGGGTCACTGTAAGAGTAACCTACAATCTGACGTGTTCACGAAAATCCTCCGGCAATTCGCCTGGTTGCTCATCAAGTTGGCGGTCGTGGCTCGCTGTACAGAATAGTAGTCCGGGATTGCACGAGGCTGAAAGTATTGGTGAAACATCCTCCGGTGGATCCTACTCGACTACTAAGTCAATAAGTGAGTAGTATTGGCATCGAGTGCTCACCGCCACCAACCCGAGTATCTCATTGCTCATGGCGAGTGTCAGCAAGCTACAGGTGATACGAGATGAGGGACCACAAACGAGGGATAGCTCACTTCCAGCTGTAAGGGACACTGTCGTTAGCCTGATTGGAAAGGCTCTACAAGAAACGGGGGCATACTCCATAAGATCCTTGACCATCGGCATGTCTGTCGGGTGGTTGCAAGTCAATGTCTGAAATCATGATGGCCTGGCCTGTCCGAATGATTGAAAGATCTCTTGTCAAGGAGTTCCAACATCGCTTTGCTCGAATTCAGGACGATGGTGTGATGGCTAAAAACAGTGGAGAAGCGCAAGACGTCGCCGTACACCTTGGACCAGTTGAAGTAGGTAACACGAAGATCGTCCTTCCGCTTAGCGAGATCGAACAGTGGCCCTACGATAGGTAAATTTTTCGGTCCATGTGGTAGAGGCGGACGGCCGTTCAGCCATCTCAGCAGAACGGTGAGCGAGACTGTAAACAGGGTGAGGATGAGGGGATGCATGCTGTTGTCGTGTTCGAAAAACACACTAGTGGTCTTTATACCCGGTAACTTCGAGGAGTATAGGTTATTGGCTCAATGTTTTGGCACCCATTTTCCCACTTAGTACCTCCAGAGTCCATACGCATCGGGATTGCATCCGACTATCCGCTGTGCGAGAGAGTACGTCCTGTGTTATCTACTATCCTCCGTAAACCTTGTTCGTTCCGAGATGACAGAGGTCATGGAAATTTAGCTCTTGGAACCGTTATCGTAGACCAGTTGAATCGTGACGCGATTGGAGACACTAGGTTGTGCTCGACGTCGCTCGTGAGTCGTGGTCCTTTAGAATGAAGGTTCCCACAAAAGATGGTTTACGTCTGGTCGGGAACTTGGGTTAAATTGTCTTGTAAGAACATCTATAGCTGCCAAGAGGGAATATTTAGACCCAAGCGCTTGAGCATTGAGAACCTCGAGCGGTTACGAAGCCTTGCGTCCACTGTCAGTCAGACCCGAACTAAGTAGGAAGTTCAAGGTGACCACCAATTGTTCAACGCCGTCAGCTAAGAATGAGATAAACGGAAGCCAAACAGGAGCTCACCCTTTCTCTGCCTAGACTACCATCCTCAGTTTAGGTCCGGACAAGTTTCTCCTTGCAGACGGGTGCGAGTTCATGATCACTTTCGCTAGTAAAGTAGCCGGAAGATCGAGTGCCTGACACCTGTCCAGGACGCCCAGACCGTCCGGTCCAACTAAAAAAGGCAATTGTTGCCGATCACGCGAAATTCAAAGTTCGCGTTGTGTGCTGATCAATACTCCACTGATCTTTTCTTCTCAACCACCACCACCACCCCGAAATGTACTCGCAATACAGAGACGATCCGGGAAGACCTTCCTTCCAGCAAGACCCCTTCAATGACAACATGCGGGCGGTATGTACTTGGGGTTTCTCGTCGTCCCTGACGAGTTGCTAATGACAAAAATAGCCGAGTGGTCACAACGAGTCGACGACGAATATTCCTCTCGTTTCTCCTCAGCATTCGTATGGCTATCAACCGCAAGCAACGGAGTCGGGGGACTTGGGGAGGTATCACGATGAAGAACAACAACACGGAGATGCTGCCGGGTATAGACCTCAAGGTGGTTCTGGTTCCGCAGCAGCTCTGGGAGCAGGTGCCGGAGCAGGTCTCGGTGCCACAGCTGCAGCTGGGGCGATGGGGGCTTCAAGGCCGCATTTTGGAGATCGAAGAGAGGCCATGCAGAGGGATGCGAATGAGGAGTGGTTGAGGAATACAAGCTCGGGCGGGAAGACGAAACGGTCAAAGTTGCTGGTGCGTTGTTGGATTCATTATTGAGTACAATCGACCGCAATGTCCTGACGACGACTTCTCTCTTTTTCGTCCTTGAAGATCATGGGGGGCATTGCATTGCTCGTTGTGATCATTGTTGTTGCGGTCGTTGCTGGAGTGCTAGCGTCTCGAAAGAATGGCGGTTCATCATCATCATCATCCTCATCCGGTGCAACGGCAGATCCCAACAATGCAGCGAACTTTCAGAAAGATTCCAAACTCAAGAAATCGTTCTATGGGATTGCATACACACCGACAGGATCTCTCTTACCCGAATGTGGTAATAAATTGGGTGAGTATCTTGGACCTTGTGTCTGGACCCAGTTCTCTTAATACTTTTCCTGTAGAGGAGGTCGTACGAGATGTTCAGGTATGCTCCAGACCATTATTTCTTCAACAAAGGTCGGGTCAACTGATTGAACCTACCAAAAGCTCCTCTCTCAACTGACACCGGTAAGCGAATAAGGTTACGTTGCTTTCTGCGTATTTACGGCTATCTCCCAGCGAATTCGTCTGTACGGCGCGGACTGTAACCAGACCGCTCTCGTGGTGAGCAAAGTGGCTTTGTGAGTGCAGAAAACCGAAATTTACCTTTCTGTCTACCTTTGTAGCTTGATGCGATCGCACGGACGAAAGTTGATTTACAAGTGTACCTTGGCAACTACCCGGTCGCAACAGACAACGGCGTAGCGTACAAGAGGCAGCGTGACGACCTCAAGGACGCCCTCCAGAAGTTCGGTGCGGACCATGTAGCTGGAGTTACCGTCGGGAACGAGTTCATTCTCAAGTAAGCAAGCACCTTGACTCGGATGTCGACCAGTTTCTCACATGACCTTCGCATCCAAAAGCTATCTAAGTGCAAACGGAGGGACAGATCAAGGCCCCAACGGCGCCGTCGGCAACCAAGGTGCTGCCATCATTGTGGACAACATTAAGGACACGCAGTCCATGCTCTCTGGCCTGAATTTGAATAAGAACATCCCGATCGGCAATGCAGATGCAGGCAGTTTCTTCAATACTCAAATCTTACAGAATGTTGCTTACGGGGTGCGTACATGACCCTTCCACTTGAGTGGGCAGCTTGGCCTGATTATCTCTGCTTTTGGTAGATGTCGAACGTACACCCGTGGTTTGCAAATGTTAGCGTGGATACTGCCGCCGCTTGGACATTCAACTTCTTCCAGGAAACGAATGTCGACCCAGCTGCACTGCTCCCTAATAAACCGCAGATGTCTATCGCCGAGACTGGTAAGTTTCTTTCTCAAACGAGGGTGGATTCGGTCTCATGAACTATATTTTGCTTAGGATGGCCTACGGTCCGTTCAACCCATGAAATTTGCCCGGATAAAGTTTGACATCCTCATCTGTATTGCAGAAATCATCTGACAAAGGGAACGAGTCCAATGGAGCCTCCTTAGCATCGACGGAGAACCTTCAGGTTCGTTTGACTCGATATTATTAGCGTTTTATAACGATGCTAATACCCTCAGCAGAAATTCATTGATACCTTCGTATGCCAAGCCAACGCCAACGGGACGGAATACTTCTTCTTTGAGGTTAGCAGGGTCCTCGAATTTTCCCGCGGAACAGACTGACACATCCTTGTACCACAGTTCACGGACGAACCCTGGAAAGACCAGATGTTCGGTGGTGTTGAGGGATGGTGGGGGCTTTTCAACCATGAGTAAGTCGCACTTTTCGCCGACCCTTGTCGTGCTCACTGAACTGACTCGTTTTGGTAGTCGCACTCTCAAGGATATTACTATACCGGATTGCCCTCCACCATCTTGAGCACTGAACATCGAACATTCATATCCATTAACCTATTCACTCGTTCTTGGATCATCATTCGGAACATTTATTCTTACATCTGATGTGGACTATTTTGCCCTTTTTACTACCTAAATGTACTCGAATCCGGACCATAACCTTATCTTTGCTTGGACGATCACTACTGTAGTGAAGATGTAAACCCTTTATGTCGTAGCAATTCCTTAGACCTGTAGTTCCGCTCCTTTCCTTTCGCCTTGAGTGCATCCTGCTGTTTCTTAGAGTCCCATGCCTCATCAAGTCCGGTCTGGGGATCAGCACTTTGTATGAAGGAGAATCCAAATCATCACTAATCTGATAAACATAATCGATAGCCTCTGTGGGCGCTCGTAGGTGCAGGCCTCGCTCTCGGTTGTTGGTTAAGTAGGCATTACCAACTGCAGGCTTGTTGTTGGTTGCCATGAGGCCGAGGCGCCTTGGCTTGAGTGAATACCAGGTTGGCGCAATTGCAAGCTACGCTGCAATGAACAATCCCAGACGGAGATTGGAGAACCGTGTTGATGGAGGTGCAATTCACATGTCATGTGGCATCAGTGGTCTAACGGTTATGATGCGACCTTCCCATCTGCTAACTGACTCAATTGCGAGGTCGCGAACGGGGTTCGACTCCCCGCTGATGCATTTGTTTGAGCTCTTGAATTTTTAATTTCCATTTTTGCTACCACCTGGACGTAGGTGTTCGGTGGTGTTCAGTAAGAACGCCTTGCTGTATACAGTATAGACCATTCCAGCATTTCATGGCCTCCATGGCCTAGCACTCTTATGCTATCTGTTCTTTGAACTTTTTCTGTTTCTTCCTCTCCTTCGCAGCCTTCCTACCCACTGCTCTCTCCTCCTTCGCGACCTTCATATCCTTGGGAGCAGTGGTACGCAGCTGCTTGATATGAGTCGGAATGATTCTCTTTTGTTGATGAGGCGGGGGAGGTGCAAGCCATGGCGCGGTCACGATCGGGATGCCCTCTTTTATCAGTGATTCGAGGTTTGGTGTGCCAGCCTTGAAACTCGTGCTCAACAACCATCGACAGGGCCCGAGGGAGACGAAAATAAACGCACGTCTAAGCCAACGACAGCCACTCTTCGGAGATTGAACGCATCTGCTAACGTATGTTCCGCACCTGCTGGCAGAGGAATCAGGAGGATAGCTTTGTCTTCACCACCAGAAGGCAACGACGAGTTGTAGCCCGCGACTATGTGAGGTATATGGTCGATCAGAATGGGTGGATTGACATCCGCACGACAAACGAGAACTACTCGAATCGGCGATGGAAGAGGTGGTGGGTCAGTTTCTGGAGCCGAGGTCGAGGAACTTATAGTCGTATTCCGACGTTGTTGTCCAAGTTGTGTTTCTAATCGTTTTGTGACTGTGTTGATTCCTATCGTTACGTGCGAGAGAACTGGAGGTTGATCCAACGGTTGAGTCTGCGTTTGTAAATCTTGAAGGGTATCCTGCTCCATCTGAGCAGGGCCAGCTTCGACATCTACTTGGTCTACTTGGTCCACGGACATTCCATCCTTTTTCGCTTTCTTTTTGGGCTTCTCGTTCTCGTTCTTCGCTCGTTTTCTCTTGCGGTTTGCTAGATTCCGAGAGCGATGATACTCCGACACTCCATCCAGAAGAGTAACCGTATGTGCTAGAATCAGATTCTGGAGGTTTACCGGGATGGATGGCCTGAAAGATCGACATCAATCGCGTCAATCACGTAGCAAAGGGGTAAAGCTACCAATAAACGCGAAAAGGATTGTCAAGAACAGGTTTGAAGACAACCTTCTTCTCCGAAATGGCAGGCCTAGCGCGATTGGATTGTTGTGTATGAACCTTGGCTGTCGTAGACATGATGGGAAGAGAAAGAGTCGCGTTTTCTTATATTTTTTTTCGCACGGACCATAGCTTGTCAGCCGCTTCAGTGACTGCCAAGGTAGGCCCATTTCTTTCTTCTCTACACGGATAAATTGACTAGATTGGGACTTCAAGAAACATAAAATACAACTATAGGCTCATAGATCACGAACGGAATCCGTTCAACCGTCTTCTTTCGCCAACGATGAATGTCGGGTCATACGTCGAGACTCGAGACACCGGCCTTGAAGCAAATTCAAGTCTCTTTCGCCTCCAAGTCAGCAGATCGCGGAACGAATTGGCACTTGAAAGGTTTTGGATGGCTGTAAAGGACCATTCACAATCAGTAAACGCGTTGACACCAGGAAACCAGACACCTCTCCCCAAAGGCTCAGGCTAAGCTTCAAAACACCCGGTGCCGACTACTGCTCACATACCTAATAATACTATCTGTATATTCGATCGTGGGCACGATCTCATTCCCGTCATCGTCGATTGCTCTCTCAATCGTAAACGTCGCAAGAAGGTGTGCGATAACGAGGTAGATCGTGTCGAGTGCTAGATACCTTCCTGGGCAGATTCTTCGCGTAGAGACGTGAGTAATAGACCCTCGCGAGGTTGACAGGATATTGGCAGACCTACGACCGAATCCAAATGCAAAGATCTCGGGGTTAGGAGGGTACTTTCCGTTGCACTTTGTCGCGAATCTGTCAGGATTGAACAACATGGGGTCGGGTCCATACAAGGTTTCGTTGTGTAGCACGGCCCTAGTCAACAACGAAGCGTCAGCAAATCAGATTCTCAGCCTCTGCCATGCGCATATATGACTAACCAGACGTTGGGAACGATTGTCGTCCCTGTCCAGCGCGCGTGTGTCAGAAATACTGTGTAGGCTCAGGCAGCAAGGTAGAACCAGTCCAGCTTTACCTGCTGGTATCCAATACCCCTCATATACGTCGTCATTCAAGGCACGGTGCGAGACGCCTGGAGGTTATTAGCACTGAGCAAGCTTTACTTCCAATGTTCACCAATTACCCAGTGGCAATGCCGGATTCCATCTCAAGGTCTCAGCGAGGAGGGCCTTTACGAAAGGCAAACTCTCGCGATTTTCGAAGTCGGGGAGCCTCCCGGGACCCATCACACTGTCGATCTCTTTCTGAGCACGAATCTGGAGCTCTGGATGGAGTACCATGGCAAGGATAAAGGTAAGAACTGAAGATGAGGTCTTGGGGAGTAAGGATGGACAATGGTTGTAGTCAAGCAAGACCTGAACATTCAGTTTTTCGGACCACGGAGTCGAATGCTTACCGTCTCTTCGCCGGCTGTTCGTTCAATGTTGAGAGAAGGTATACCGGAAGCGGTAAAGGGACTACGCACCAGCGTGAGCAGTTGTGGCGCAATTTTTGATCACATCCTCCATCGCCGAGTTCTCTCCAGGAGTCACCGTTAGTTTTTCTGAGCTCTTTGTACAAAATGACGGCATTACTGTGCCGTCTTCCTGTTGACAGTTGAATCGTCAGATTGGATTCCAGTGCAAAGAGGTAAAAACTGACGAGAGCGCCTTTGACCCAACTCCAAGGCTTTTCTTTAAGATCCTTATTCGACTGCATCCACCGTTCCGCTTTCTGTTTGAAGCTTGCTCCCGGAAACCAGGCTTGAAATACCGAAATTTCCATCAGTGAACAATACGAGGGTGAACACATTTTACCCACATGGCATGTATTGTGTGATGGCGTAAAAATCGAAGGAGAAGAGCGCAAGTGTGGACGCATCGTTCATTGCCTCTATCGCGTGGGAGACCAGCTGTACATAGGGGTCGTTCTCGGCCTGGAGCGTGTACCCATATATTATCTTGAGGACTACTGATCCCGCATGGCTACCAGAGCAAGGACCGTAAGAGTCCACAGAGGGTTTGACTGGGATATGTAAGCCTTGCTTACTGCCTGACGTGGCCAAAAAAGTTCTCCGGAGAAATCGTCAGTTTCTCCATGAGTGAGGCGGTGATGGCCCTTTGTATATTATGGTACTCAGGGACAACACGAGGTCGAAAATGTTGATGGAACGTCTTTCGGTGCAACCTAGACGATCATGTCAAACTCTGGTGACTTTGAAGATTCAGAATGCGAGACCTCCACCAATCTGAATGCCGAAATACTTGGAGTGATAGACATCGTTAGAGAGAGCCGGCCAAGCACGGCTCCAGTAAGAGTCGTAGACGCACATCCAAAATTCCACGTCAACCTGGCCACAGTTACATGATGGTGAACAATCTGATTGTGAGATTCTTCGTCGCAATAATGATCTGATTGAGACGTACCCCGCGATGTCCATTGCGAGGGGTAGATCTGCGGTGAATGACTGTCACCTGAAATTATCTTTGACCTCCGTAGAATCTCTTACTTACCAGGCCGGTCCGAGTAATTATACGACCTCTTCTCCAGAAGGGCGATCATGTCTGTACACGATCTGAGGACAATGGTACGATCTCCGAGAACGCGGAGATGAATGATATCGCCATAAATCTGCGACAATCTAAGGTATTCTTTGTGTATTGGCAGGCCAGATTTCGACCCCCTTGCGATATTTCGAAGGTTCCCGACGAGGGGTAGCCCTGCTGGGCCAGGTGGTAACGGCAGCTGTGCTCGAAGACGACAGAAGAGCCGCCTCAGAAAGAGTAATAGGGGAGCCGCAATCAACAATAAGCTGAGAAAAGATAGCATGAGAATGACAGTAAGGACGCGAAGAGACTAAGAACGACCTTATATGCATGCTTTTGCAAACTATTTCTCACCCCAGTAGATTCGGTCAGGCGTCGTGTCCGATTGTCAGCTGGAATGTTCCAGTGGACTTAGCGAGGCAGAGAGAGACATATTCCAACCGCCGCAAGTGCCGAATGGGGTACTGGACGAGTTTTGTTAGACACTCGTGAGATTCAGCCGTGTTGGCAGTTACCGGGTATTACCGGTCAAGTCAAAAAAGTCAGTAATTGGGCAATGGTCAGTAAGTAAGTCAGTCAATAGTCAATTGACTATCAAGCCTCGAGGTCAGCACAGTGCCTCGTGTTCATGTTCAACTTCGATTTGAAATCAGACATCGTTGGGCTGACGACAGCGGCCTAAATAGGCATTGACTGATTGACCTTCAATTGACTAACCAGTCAATACTGACTAAGTCAAGCTTTTTCGGTCAATCAGACAGTCCCATTGACTGACTCTGACAACACTGAGATTCAGTCGATTACCTTCAATATGCAATCAATCCCCCAGCCCGTTGCGAGTAGAAGTAGCCTTGACGCCAACACAGCCGCGAGTCCCTATGCAGAAGGCGGGTCCCCATCGTCATGTCTGATCTGCCAAAAGTGGAGAAGAAGGAGACTGGGACAAACCTTCGCTTTGAGCTCCCGCAATGTGACCAAAGCTCAAGGCACAAGTTGAAGCTGAGACAATTTCCGGGAAAATACAACGCCATCGAAGTCATTCCTTCGATCAGCTTCTCATTCGACTCTAGAGGTAAGTTTGGACTGATGAAGGCGGAGAAGTGGCGTGGAAAGTTCATTGGTGGACTTCGCCTGAAGTTCCCAGGCTCGTTAAGACCTTATAATAAGTACAGAATTGGGTAGAGCCATACATGTACAAGTGGTCCGGAGCCAAACACATGCCAAGATAGAAGCGATCACTGATCTTGATTCAAACTGTGTAGCCCTTCCCTCGGGATGAACCGACACTTGAATGGTTTAGGGAAGCTGAAAAAGAATCAATGTCAATTCGCGGGTTGAGGAAGGCGA